GCTTGATTCAATAAATCTCAGCTTAACATTCATGTTTGGTGCCAAGTTGCCATCTGAGCCCCATTACAGTGAACCTTTGGGCTCTCCAGTGTCACCTCATATCACAAAACAAATAAGAGCTATTCCTCAGATGAATCTGGAGCCAGGTGCTGATCCCAAACCTGACCTGTGCCCTCAGAATCACACTTAGATGCTAAATCCTCACACAGTTGACACGCCTGGCAGTTTGTTGTCGTTCCCGGGTAGCCTCTGTGTTTGCTTGTTTGATTTCATAAAACCATTTTGTGTTTTCTCGCTTTAGGAAACACGTGTGAAATCAGTCAAACGGTTCTGGCGATATGACAAAATGTGCCAGAGTATAGCCGACTGCTTCTGGCTTTTCTACTCATTTACACCAGCACAACAGAATCAACAGTAAGCAGCGTCTGGCGCCCATCGCAGCCCAAAGCAGATGCTGCGTAGGCCAGAATTCAGGAGAGGCACCTGTGCTTTTCCGCTCCGCTTAGCTAAAAAACACTGAATCATCAGTGCTGCAAAGAAATCGAGTGCTTTGCTTTAGTATTGCACTTCATTACTGCACACTGCCATAGTACATTTTGGAAACTTATCTCTAATAATCTAATCCCGGGTATTCACACTCATTCACTCTGAATGGCCCTTATCAGTTGTTATGACTCCTGATAACCCCTTGTTGTACATTCTAGTAGGTTCAGTGAGCAGCTATCGTCGTTCTAATCAGAGACAAACAGAAAGAAGCTGAGATGATCTGGCAGACCTGCAGAAGTCATGTGCTCATGTTAGGGTGGTCATCAGGACTACTAACGTTGCTCTTTAAGAAAAGCTGGAAGATCTGTGGACACTAAATGATACCAGAGCAGCTGTGAGAGGCCACAGACTGGTGATATCTCTGGGAGAGATGACTCATAATGGCCATGCAAAGCTCTGATTATAGAGCGGCAACAGCAAATATGGACGATATCTGTGTTGAGCTATTACATGCACTTTTCTGACTGCCATAATAAATAAACTCCACCTGGGGAGTACTTTTACAGAGTGCAGTCACGATCAAGGCATTCAGCTTTGATCAAACTCACCGAATATTTTTAACAAACTTCTTTTTAAACAGATTGAAAACATTTGAGATGATTTCGGTTACAAAGTAAAACTAAAACAGCAGGAATAAACACTGACGTGACACTGAAAGTGTCTGTGGAGAACACGTGTCTTTAACCTGCAGCTCTCATGATGACCAGCAGGAGTCTGAGAAAATCTTGGTAATACGATGAGATCAGTGTATTGATTCAAACAGCAAAAGCGATGATGGACTTCCACCAGACACTTAAAATATGTCCAAATATTTTGTGCATTAAAACATTTTTCTGACTCAGCGGTTCTTAATGCAGTCACTCCATTTCACTGGACAAATTTGCAGCATTTAGTTTTTCTAACCAAGCTTGATTTTTAAATCCTAATAAACAGATGTGACCAATCAGATCGCTGCATTTAGCAGCACATGTGCTCGTAACTCAAATTGTGCACCAGCACTGAATTTTCATTGAGGTGGAAATAGTGAAATAATCCTATTTGAGCTCAGACACACAACTAGACGGCTCTCTGAAAGTATTCGTCTGCCTCCTCAGACGTGGTTCCAACTGCACTCACGTGAGCTCAAACTCTGACATCGTCAAATATGTACAAAAGTAGTTGTGACTGACCTGCACTGAACTCCTGGATCGAGCTATGCTGCTGCTTCTTTGTCGTGAGAACTGGATAAACTCAGGATTCCCGTTTCTTTCTTTTCTTGTTCAGGAACATCAGGATCAGCTCATCGTCGCTTCATGTCGACTTCATTTTTTTCACAAAAACGCAACAGGCTCTGTGTGTGTTTATGTTACACAGCAAGTTCAGATCTGGTAAATTCTGGACAATTTCGTGTTTGGTGCGTAACACCAGTGACACCAGTTTTCAATCACTGCAAATGCAGTCCATTTACTTTTCTTCTAACTGCTCAGATTAAAGTTGAAAGGTTCTCAAGCCAAGTGTGGTCCCACTGTGAGCATGACAGCATCTCTGTGCAACTTTCACTGAAGCATAACAAACTACACTCAGGGCGTTTCCTCCTAATCATCTTCCAACTCGACCACATTCCACATGATAAATTTGACTTTGCAAGACTTGAGAAACAAACAATCTTTGCAAAAAATCAAAAAAGAAGCAAATGTAAATATAAGGCAACAGTCTGTAAAATGCACATTTAA